ATTTATACTAAGGAACACTGTATAGACATTTCCACTTTAGAAGAATTGAGCCATAGCTCATAATATTTTTATTATTCATAATAGTTGTGGAGGCAATTCTCTTTATAATTATAATTCTTTCTGGGTGTGCATCTTTGAATATAAAATGAGAAATTAGAACTCTCCCATACTTGTATTTTGGGATGAATACGTTTAATTTCTGATTAATGTAAACCATTCTGTAATAGGGATTTTGAAACGTTACTAACCCATCAGGTTTTTGGTGACACAAACATGCTAATATCATTAAATCAGATTACAGGTAGTCTTTGACATGATCACGACTCTGCCCCAAATTTTGTTGCTAATTGAGATGTTTTTAAGTGAGTTTTACCCCATTTTTCGCCCTTTCTTACCACAGTTGTTAATCAATGCAGCTGTTAAGTTAGTAACACGTTTGTTGAGTGAATGTGGCTTCCCCCTTGACTGTGTGCTTGTTCCTGCATTCATACAACCTCATATAAGCCCAAGTATATGCTATTCAACAAATTATAAGTCCAACCCAGATTATCATGGTCCCAATATTTTATAGCATTGTCCTCTTTATATAACTCAATCCTCCATCTGCAAAAGGTGTCCATAACAAATTATTTTTTGTACATGGAGGGGAATATATTGATCACATATTTCTCATGCTCCTCATATTTGATGTAGCCTAGCTTTCTAATGTATTTTAATAATTCTTTATCTGATAATTTTCTTTGGTGAATTGTAAAAATGAAATTAGTTTTACAAGTACCCTTTTGTTAGAGCCTTGTGTTAAAGAATTATTGTATTAATAATTTTGAAATATGAAGGTGGAACTAGTATTTTTACAATTAACAAGATTTTTTAAAATATTTTCTTTAGTGAAGAGGTTACGCATTGAAAAAAGTGTATCTAAAGATCCAGTTGATTTTGAAAAACACATTGAAAGAGGTAATTATACTTAATATTGTTATGATTCAGTGAATGATCATACTGAAATCTACCGAATTCAATCAAGTCTGAGGACTATGGTTATTGAAAAGAAATTCTGTTCATCTCAATTTTTGTATAACATTAGATTAATAGTATACAATTAAAAGTTCAAAGGAGATATTGCATTTTTTAAAATTTCAGTATTAGCTTTGTAATCTGCAGAACCAAAGGCTATTTCAATATATTTTACAAGTTGAGTTGTTGCACTTAGCAAACACAGTTGATTCTTTGTAATGCATTATCCAATTATCAATTTCACATATGCTCTGAATTGAACCTGACCTTTTCTTTGACATTTGACTATAGGTAAAAGTCAGTGCCCCGAATTCTTCTCCATCTTGTTAGGGAAGAATAATCCACAACCGTGGGTGATATTTTAAACTCCATTTCTGTTTTTCATTATATATACCATTACGAAATAGATAGAAAGATAGACAGGCAGACACAGATAGACAGACACAGTAGTAGAATAATATACCAATAAGAGCTATGGTATCTCTGAGGTTTTTAAATGGAGGCTGCACAGCCTTTTCTCATGAATGATTTAATTGCTTTTCCTGTACGTTGCAGAGAGTTGGACTAGATGTTTCTTGTGGTCCCTTCCAACTCTACAATTATATGACTATGATTCTGACATACATACATACATCAAGGTGTGAATGCTGACTTATTTCTTCATTGGCTGACAGTTAATGTGCTTAGAAATTAAAAAGTGAGTTAACCAATTTAAACAAAGAAACCCACCAGGTAATGATTTCTTAATGGCAAAATGCATATGTAAGAATGGTGAACCCCAGTTTTAGCCACTCCCTTCTTTGATTTTTCTACAATGATTGCTCTGCAATGATTTCAAAAGACTTCAAAAGCAGTAATAGTTCCGTTTATAAAAAGAGAGAATGGGACATACTATCAACCTAATAATCTACTAAGCATTAGCAACATTTATGCCAAATATTTAAATACAAAAATAGTGAATTGGCTGGAAATAGGACAAGTCCAGAGAAATAGGCTGATATTAGACCCAACATACCTTGATCTTGCCTTTATTTTAAGTGTATGGCTAAAGTAGGATTTGCCTATATGCTGCTATTGTTGATTTTAAGTTTGCCTTAAACTAAAAATCTGGGCTTAAGACATCAGATAAGCTCATCAATTCCATTATAGATATATGTCTATTGTTATTGTTGCTTGAGCTTCATGAAAAAGCTTGTCTAAAAATCCAATTTATTTCACAAAATTACACAACTAAAGTAATTAACTTGGTTTGGGAAGGTAGATAGGATTGTATGTTGGCATCACTGTTATTTACTTTTTACATAAACTCTGACCATCTATCTGAATACTCTGACTCCCCACCCCGCCGCCGCCACCACAACAGCAGCTCATATGTTTCAATAAGCCAAATATGGTAGTTTTATCTCAGACTTTAATTGGACTGAAACATGCCCTAAGATCATCAACTATGTACTGTAGGGACTGTGTAAAGGCAAAAATATTGATATTGGCTAAACGTATTAGAATTCAGAAGTAGTAATTTAAATGGCCATCAAATCAAATAGGTCAAGGTGTTTAAATATCTTGCAAAGTTTTTTTGATGTCCAATAGATGTGCTAATCTGGATTATGTAGTCCAGAAAGCTCCAAAATCAGTTTCGGCAATTGGAATATGTTTTGATGGGGATGCCTGCTATCTTAAAACTATTTTCTGCCAACGGCTGCTCCTAGCATTTTAATAGTATGTAGCTTGGGCCTTATGGCAATAACTCAAAATTAGAAACTTGTGCATTCAAAAATTTTAAAGATCATCTTTCATACAGTAGCCCATATCCTGTTTTAGTGTTCACCTCCTTTGCGGGTTGGAGTTAATTCAGATAATAACCAAAATATGAATAATTTTCTTTTCTTCTTGGTTAACATGAATATTTTTACCCACTGGCTTAACCCCATAAACATTAGAAGATAATTTTAATACTAGATGGAGGAGATACTTATCAGAAAAAACACCCTGCATTTTTATGAATTCTCTCAAAGATCCTTCTTTGGGACACAAGCAGGCTAACAACAGATGCAACAGGTTCTGGACAATTACATTAGTCCAATTTGCCCAGTGTTGTATTTTTAAGTAAACAGGCTCCCTGTTCAGTCCTGCAGTGTGCTTAAATTTTACCAGAGTTTCTAAATTGGAAACTCTAATACTGGATCATTTTAATACCTCGCCATCAGCTGTTTAAGGCAGATATAAAAAAATATCCTGCAGGGCTCAATCATATGGACAGGAGGTATTAGGAATCCACTGCCCTTTATACTGGAGTTTTTTTTATAGAGATCTTAGATCCTGCTTCATTTATCTTCAGATAGTAAAATATCCAGAACTGATCTATTATATACCGCCATTTTTTTATTTGGCCAGTGAGATTCCAGCTCTCCATATTGTTAAGTTTTGCTATATGGTATTACTTTCAACATAGGAGCATGGTGACCTAACAGTTAAGATACTGGGCTTGTTGACAGAAAGTTGGCAGTTTGAAACCCAAGTAGTACTAGATGACAGTTCCCATTCTTGCTCCAGTTCCTGCAACCTAGCAGTTTAAAAGCTTGCAAATGCAAGTAGGTAAACAGGTACCACTTTGGTAGGAAGGTAACAATGTTCCGTGTGCCTCGGTCATGCTGGCCACATGACCATGGAAGTGTTTTTGGACAACACCGGCTTCCTTGGCTAGGAAATGGAGATGAGCACCACCTCGTAGTGTTGGGCACGACTTGGCAGGGAAAACCTTTAGCTTTATTATTTCCAACATCTCATAATGATTCATACTTGCTGACTGAAATAAAAACATTGATTAATTGTTGAATAAATTATTGTATTGTTGTGTATATACCATACATGCAGCTGTTTTAATTTTAAATTGTAGTATTACCAATACTAACTCAAGAATTGTAGTTCTTTGAGATTAATTACGGTCAAAGACCAGCAATGTACATTTGTCTTTACACTATATTAAAATACTAACATTAAAATATAATTAAAAGTATTNGGAGACTAGTATAGATCTATTTCTAATATATATATATATATATTTCATTAGCGTACAAATATACTACTATTAGCAAACAGTATGCGCTTACCCATTTCTCAAGCATAGTTTCTGAAGCACTAAGCATCCATAAGCATTAGTGAAGGTCTGCAAAGCACAAAGCCCTGTTTTTGATTCCATGAATTTCTGCCTGGCATCTGCAGCATAGAAAAGCTTTTCTGCTATCTGTTCTGGAAAGTCATTCAGTGAATCAACATGATTAATATTGTCAGCAATATAGCTCAGGACTAGGCTGAAGAGAGACTTGGAAGAATAACGAAGACTTCCCTCCTTTGTATAAGTAAAGATAAAATGATCTGTCCTTCCATTGTCATTTTCCTTGTTGACACAAAGCTCAACCGAGAATTCTTTGGAGAACAATCTTGAAGGCCTTGAATTTGGAGTATAATTGATTCCTCTTCCTGCAGCTTGATTTATCATAAACAGCTGACCATTCTCTCGAACATATACAGGTTCTCCTTCTGGTTCTCCTTCTGGAACATTTTCGGCACCAAGATAGCATGACATCTTGCTTTCAGATTTCTGGAAGAAAAAGTCAAAATGAACAAAGTAAAGTATTAAAGAAGCGGAGTAAATTTCCAAAAGTTATTTCATTTTTGGCTTTTTTCACTTATGCAAAGTATTTTTATACATAAATATGTTAATCTTAAACACCCAAGCTGAAGGAGCTTCCCAAAAGCATAGAGATAATTGTATGCCATTATGTCCTTGCAGGAGACAAAAAAAAATCCATTAACAGCTGTCCTCATTTTAAAATCATAATCTTAAAGCAGTATTTCTCAATCCTGCAATTTTAAGATGGGTGGACTTCAATTCCCAGAATTCCACAGACAGTTTAATTGCTTGCTTGCTGTCTGTGGAATTCTGGGAGTTGAAGTCCACACATCTTAAAAGTTGCCAAGGTTGACAAACACTAGTCTATAAAACAAGATGAATCCAATCCATGAACAAATGAATATACCTGTTGTCCAGAGGAATTTCTGAATACGGTTACAGAGAATTTGTATGACTACAAAGGAGCAGTTAAGCTTCATTTATTGCCAGTATTTTATTTAACCAGCAAATCCTTTCAACTTACATGCAATATAGCCAGGGTTTGTTTCGATTTCAGCAGGGGAACATTGGAAAGAACCGGCAGAGCAGACTATCCAAATCCACTATGAGGTGCGCAGGTGGGGAATCCACCGCCCCAATCCGGCGCCTCCCCACGAGGGAGGTTTGTGTGAAACCACCCCAGAAAATACAAAAATGTAAAAGAAGAATCACTTGCCCCCACTTTAGACCGCGAGATTAGCGACTGAAAAAAAGCAATGCGCATGCGTGCCTGGGCGGAGACCCTAGAGATGAAAATGTAGAGCCGTTTTCCGAGAACGAGAGCTCTTTTTGCTTCTTNTCTAATAAGGGGAGAATATATGCAGACCTACAAGCTCTGTATAGCTCGCAGTTTAGGGTTAAAGTTTTAATTTTAAATAATATTTTGAATTTAGTAATATTAATATTAAACTCTTATGAAGTTTAGGATCAGTTTTAATATTGCTAATACCTTGCCCAATATTTTATATTTATATAATATATAAATATAAATTTTATTTTGTTTTGTGATTCTTTTCTTTGATTGCTTTTGTTTTATGTTGATCGAGATCAAAATAAAGACTAACATCAAGATATGGGTTAATTGTTAGAGATTGACTTTTAAATTTTTTAATTGGCTTAAGTATTAGTTCCAATAAAGATGTAAGATTTATATTTTATATTTATATTTTAATTATTTTCTATAGTTAAATTGTACCATTTTTATTTTCAGAGCTACAATGTAAAGATGGGGAACTACAAACAGAAGATTTTTCTGTAAGTATCTTTCATTTAGTATTAACGCAATATAAAAGATAATCACTTTTTAACTTGAGTTTGCATTTTTTTAAAAAGTAGAAGTTTGAAAATATTCATTCAATTTATTTTGTAATCTGAAAAAGACTTTCAGAAAAATCTGAAGAATATTTTTATGTTTACACTATGATATAAGTCCATTATCAATTGGCAGCACTTAAGCAACTCTGGATAATCCTAATCATGGTTAAACCTGGTTACTTCTTAGATGGGAGAATTCTAAGAAATATAAGGACCACATGCTGATCAGGTAACTTAAAAATGAATAAATGGAGAGAATAGCAAACCACTTTGATATTGCTGGAAATAAAACAATGTGTTCCTGTTGTTACCAGGAGCTGTGTTCAGCTTGAGGGATTTTTAAAAATTATTTTTATTGCATGATCTGTGAGAAAATCTAAAATACACAAATGGCAGCCAATCCCACATATCTGAAATTACTTAGTTAATGCTAGCAAATATTGAGAATTGTTTTTAAAAGCTTGCTCACATTAATTAGTTACTTATTTACATGATGCACATCTAAGCATATTTACTGAGAAGCAAGTTCCACTGTGCACTGTTGGTTACATATTTTTTTTAAAATATTGTAGGCTTTGTACTGTATAGAACTGTTAAGACGCATTCATGAATGTTGATAACTTAGCATTTTGGATGTTGCAATTTTAGTTTTGTGTGTAAATAGGGAACTGTACTTGCAATTACATACAAATATTTAACTTCAAGATATGTAGTTATTCATTCTCTAAGGTTGTCCATTTTCTACAGATAAACGTCAAGCAAAATGGTAATAACGTAGGGACATTCTGTTCCTAACAATCCAAAACATCTGCCAGCAAATCATGACTGGGGAATCAGAATATAGTAATATTTTACAAAGCCACAGTAATGTAGTACTTCATATATTCCATTTTCAACATTTAACAGCAAATGTTTAAATGCACTGAATATGTTTATTCACTTACACTGAAATTTTCCTATGGGAATTAATGGTATTTTAAAATGCTGTATGTCATTACATCATACCTATAGTTTATTGCTGTTAATATTTTTTTCTCTTTGATAGTTTCCTGAGATCCAAGCAACATATCTTCGAATCATCATTTTATCTGCTTCTGATGCTTTTGTGTCAGTTCATAGGGTAATAGCAGAAGGACTATCAGATGAAAGTTAAATTCAATATTCAGTTTATAACACATTAAACATTAAGCCTTTTAAAAAATGTAGCAGGCATTAACTGCAGTTGGTATTTAATCTTTTCAATGGAAATTTGTTAAAAAATTTCAACAATGAATATTATTATATAATATTTATATGATGATGTACAGTATATTATAGATGAAATAGAGTAATAAACAAGAATATTAAATCATTAAACCTTCTGTTATGTTGTCCAATATCTTCAGTTTATCTTAATTGATAAGAAATTGACTTCATTTAGTCTGGGGCAATCTTTCCTTTTAGACCACCAGGTTCCACTCCATCATTTTATCTGTATTATAAGATGATACCATATTTAAAGAAAACAAGTTCAACCTGGACGGAGATTTTTGGACCAAGTTTAATATTGCATCTTGTTTCTATAAATATTTTTCCATATCAGGTCATAGTTCTCTTCTGTTTTAAACTATGACTATCATAAACAAATATTAATAGAAACAAAAGTAAGAAAATTATTACAACTATTGCATTTAGAAAGTTCTTCTCTGCAGACATCTTTAAAACTGGATTTGATTGTGCTTCTGTCCTTAAGTGGTTTGGCTTCAAAGGATCCAATGCATCTTTACATGGTAGGAGTTTCATGACAACAATCATGTATATTTGTCTGTTACAAGTGGCAGCAGTGTTCTCCAGAAATTTGATTCTATACAAAGACTGCTGCTGTTCAGATCCAAAGACTAACAATTCCGAATACAGCTCTTATAGAAGAAACATAATTGAGAAATGTTGCACTCCTGTCACTAAAGGAGAGATCACTGCTCTGTGTGACTATCTAGAGACTGTTATATATAAAGCAACCCATCATGTTATCCTATTTCAATTGAATAGCTTGCTTCACTAAAAAAATCACCACAAAGATATTTTTCAAATGTGTAAAACAGCTTGTGCATCTGCTACTGGCAATTATAAGAATGAAGATTAGCATTGGCAGGTAATCTAGGGTAAATATAATAAATAGATCTTACATTATTGTTTAATTGAGAGTTTATGACTGCTGAATATTAGTGATGTAAGGTTTTCACCATTTTTTTTTCAAATAAATACAGCCCTTTATAAATAAAAATACTTTTTAAAATGTAATCAGGTAATGGAGTGTATGTGCTGCTCAGAAACAAGTTGCTTTGAGGTGTTCTTTTACAGGTAAAACTGTTCCAAAAATTGATGTACTTCTTGTGGGCAATAATTCCAAGGTCCTGGTCTACCCTGTAAAAGGGAGGGGGGGAAATTCAGTGACTAATTTCTAAGGACAGGAATATAAAGTATAGGCAAGGGATGTAAAGTAATATAAAGAGATTAATCATTATAAAATAAATAGATTAAAAGATTAGGCTTTTAATGAAAACATACATTGTAAGAATATGAGCATGTGGCAGTAATAATAGGATGCCAATTATTTCAGAATTGACTAGACAAGATTACATTTTCACATTGAATTGGATGCTACTATTTTCTTTCAGTTATGGAAAATGAACAGCAAAACACAAAATGTTACATGAAAATATTTACAATATTAATAATATTACTAATAATGCATATTTAAAATAGTTCAACTGTTTTAGAAAAAAGAACACTAGCTAGCAGTCTCCCCACACTAACTCATCTCTCCCACAAGGTTTCAAGTACATGTTTAGCTTTGCAAACTTGCACCACACATAAATATGCAATAACTTTTCTTTTTACCTTATACACAACTTTTCCCTTTTGAAGCACATACAGTCTCTCTGGCAGAGCTGCATATTTGTTACTGCTCAGGTTTTCCATTGTGTCTAGAACCACTGGACATAAGGGTTCCTGTTTTAGGAGCTTCTGTGCAGCCATTATACGATCTTGAAGGGTTTGGTGACTTTTAATGACAATATTGTTCTTAAAGGCCCATCCATCTAAAATAAAGAATAGTTCTAACAGGAATTAGACTATCAATACTGGATATATTCATCCTTACATTTAGTAATAGAAGTGGGATATGTAAGAGCTCAGATTTCTTGGTTTTTGTATTCCTTTTTTTCTTCCAGAAGTGCAAAATCATGAAACCTGTTCACTCTCATGGGCTATTATAATGACTATACCTAAATGACTCTACAATTGTCTTATCATCTTCCAGAGTCTGCTGCCTGATAAATACACAGTGAAAGTATGGCTTTGATACTATGAATTTTATAATTTTTTGCTTCTATTCATGCAGATAAAATGTTATTAGGTGTTAGAGAAAGCAGTGAGGGTGCTGTATCTTAGCTGTTGAGTCTCAATAGCAACCTTTCTTAAATTACATTTGACTTAGACAATCAAATATTGATCGTTTCTGAAGATTATACATACAGTATTAGATACACAATAATTGTTTACCAAGTTAAATTAGCTTCCTCGGTCACATAATGTTAAACCTGTCCATTAAGCTCTATGATTTATATTTAAGAAGAAATGCATCCAGATTGTTAACCTGGAATGCAATCATTTACAATCTAATGCCTAGATTTTTAGCACGCTTGCCTTACCTGAGGCATGAGCTTCTTCAATGTAGATTACAAGAAAATCTGCTACAGATTTGAAATCTTCAACAAGTTTATTAAACTCGCCAAATCTGAATATGAATGAAGGTCAGGTACAACTTCCAAATGTTAGAACCAAAGGCCTGTTACCTGCAAGAAAACAGATCAGTCTTGAAAGATAAAGATGAGAATAAGGATTGTTATAGTTTTCATTTATTCAGGAGTTATTTACAATTAAAATGCTACATATACAGTAATTTTAAGAATTTGGTCACATTCTTCTGTATATGAGACACCTAACATTTAGTGGCTGATTAATATAATATTTGAGATATTTAAAAGGGCAATATGCTTTAATGGTAGACTTTTATTTGGTGCCATTTTGAACAAGTTCCCAGTCAAACTGGGGAATTCAGGGACCAAAGTCCACACATCTTAAAGGTGCTGAGGTTGAGAAACATTTGGTCTAGAAGCCTCCATGTATTCATTCCACCACATGCAACCTTTATTAAGACCCTGCTAATGTCACATGAATAATTTTTGCCAAAAATATTTTATGATGGTACAATTCTAATTCTCAATAAGCATTATTGGGTAAAGAACAACATGTTTTGTTTTTCATAATGAGCATCTGCACATTGTATGAAAATGTTGCATGTATTCAGCAGGAATGTTATATGTATTCAGTAGGAATGTTGCATGTATTTGGCAGCATGTATTTCAATTTAAAATGGCCCTTTTCCATTTTTTCTAAACCCAACTATATTTGCAAGCAGAGCAAAGATTTAGAACATTATTGGCATCACCAATAAAAATCCTCTAATTAAAATGATCTATTCAACATTGCCTCTGTTTAAAGGAATTTTATGATATGGTAAGCTATTTTTGTTTTTTAACTTATGTTTGTACTTGCAATAAAATTGTGTATTATAATGTTCTAATTTTTATTTGAGTATCTGTACAATCTCTTGATCTAAGTGATGACCACCATGAGTATGTTCAAAATAAAACTAAGCCAGGATTTGTTGAAGAAACTTTAGCAGCTTGATTCACATTACAATTAAGCAAAAACATAAAATTATCTCTGTTCTTCACATCACCCTTTATCAATATCTTATCAAATGTATTTTTGTTTCTCTAAAATATTTTGATTCAATTACTTATAGCAACTATTTGAATTATGCAGAATAAGTGTACAATGCTAGTTGTATAAAAGTTGAGTTTTATCTTAATTTCCAAAGCAGTGCAGTTAATTAGTTACTATAAAGTAGAAGCCAATCACTTATGAATATGTTAAGAGAAAGGCAAAGTGCAGTTTGTGTTTGTGCTGGCAAGATGTATATGGATTACTTCAAGCTTTATCATGCTCTTTTTCTTTTTTCTTTTCTGTGAAGGCATTTGTTATATTTTTAAAGAAAAAAAATCTGAGGCATAGATTGCACGCATTTATTTGAATGTGTGTATCTTTGGACCCAGTACAGTAATAAATGCATATGCATAATCTTGTATATCCATATGCAATATGTAATATGTTACTTAAGAAAGTCATTTTGCTTGCATCAATCATGCATATATAAAATTAAATTATTTCCTGTTAATATGTCAGAATTAAACCACTCCACTCAACAATTCTAATGCTACCTTAACATTTCCCCCAAACATTTTAACATGTTTTATGTCAATTTCAACTGCATGAAAAAAGCGAATTCTGTCTGTTTAATCAATGGTTTTAAAATGCAATTCTATTTCACTTATATTATTAGCAAATGCCATATTTCCCAAAAGCATTGTCCTGTTGTTTACTTACCTTTCATGAAGTCTAGAATGCGATGCATTTTCCCACTGAGATCTGCTACAGGGGTGTTAGGAGCAGGACAGCCTTGAAAGGCTTCATCTTCCAGCCTCTTCCATTTGACTTTCAAGACAAAGAGTAAGTAAGGGAAGCTGAAGAAAGTCGGACCCCAATTGTCATAGATGAATTTTGGGTTGTCTCCCATGCCATTCTTTTCTCTCTGCTTCAGGAGATAGCTCTTCACAGTACCTGGGAAGAAGAACATGCAGATTTTACCAATGACAGTGGACAAACACACATGCAGAAGAATCCAGAACCTCTGTATAAATCTCTTCATTCTGAACATCTTGGCAGAAGAAGAGGCTGCTACATTCTGCAAAGTAAAATTCAATGTGGAGCAAAGTGAAAGGGGGAAAAAAGGAGAGCCTGAGCTAAAGTTAATAATTGCTAGGCTCGTTAGCTGCCTCAAATGACCAACATCATAGCAGTTATCAGTTCTTTACCTTGAAGAAAATCCAAAGCCCTTAACAGAACGTTGGTGAAAATAAATAATGTTGTAAGGTTCAACATGTTCGAAAACAAGGAATATTTAATCTATTCAGGAATTGAAATCCAGCGAAATTTTCCCTGAAAATAACTATAATATTAGATTTCTTCCTTGCAAAATCAATGACCCAACTTTTCTAGAGGGTTTAATCAAAATAGAAAACCATCTAGGGCAACAACTCTTATTGATTTCAATAGATTTTGCCTTGCTATCAAGTATTCAGAAGTTTACCTTGTTTTTATCTTGCTTAACCTTCAAGGAATACAAATGTGGGATATTTAGGACTTTCTATTTTATCTTGTATTCACTGCCCAGTTCCTTGAATAGACTGCTGAAAAGACATGCTCAAAGCACCTTATTCGCATATTCGCAATTCCCACAAATTGTTTTTGAGCGTCAACTATTTTCTGAAATATGCAGGATGAAGCCTGCATATTCAGATATGGCTTTTTCACAAGTGTAGCAATACCTTCCCTTATTTATAAATACTGGTGTTCCAACAGTGCTGTAAGATAATGATTTTCAAACTGGGCAAATTTAAGATGTGTGGGCTTCAACTCCCAGAATTTCCCATCCATGCAATTTTTTTTAAAACCAGACAAGCTAATAGCTTCACTGGGAATTCTGAAAATTGGAACTCACACATCTTGGAGTTGTCAAGTTTGAAAAGCAGTGGGGTAAGAGATGGTGCAAAAACCTGGGAATAATGGAAGGAATGCTAACAATAAACAACCAAGAGATAAGAATTTGTTTCTGAACAAACCTACCAAATTTTCTAAGATTATGTACCATATCCATAAATTTGACAATAAAAATTCACTAAATAAATCTGTGAAGTTTATATCTTGCTGAAAGTACTTAAGAAGGGCTTATCCCTACAGTATACAATTCTTCTAATCTATACCATATCTCACAAAACAATGAGTAACCAAACCAAATATCATTTCTGGGTTTCCAGTGATAAGAATATCAGTTCCACACTGTGGATTTTGTATGAGAAGAATAGGGGAATTTTCTCAATAGCTCATCCTGCCTGCTTTCCTATATTTGTTGCATACTTGACAATTGGCTTTTCAACTTTTTATCTATAGATAATGGTTCATTTACTGACTTGTTATGAGTAATGCAACTCCACCCTTGGCAGCAAATATTATTGCTTTCCAATTAGCATTTGCTTTCCAATCCATTCCTTTGAGAATTTCACCAGAGCATTGTTTGTTGTTTGTTTGTTTGTTTATTATATTTATATGCTGCCCTTTTCCCCCCGAAGGGGACTCAGGGCGGCTCACAACTCAAACCAGGGAAGGGGGGATACAGACAAAAATTAAAAACGACACATAACAATGCATAATTGAAGGATTCCTGGTAGATATATCTATGCTATAGCAAGTAAAATCAATTAATTTCAAGTAAAGGCTGTTTTAAAAATAGTACTGTTTTTCGCCAGCAAAAATTAGATCAGTGTCAGTGGAATGCAATCAGTGTGCTCTTGACTGATAATTGGCAATTACCATCAGAAAATAAGCTACTCCAGTGAAATTTCATGTTAAGATATGAGGATTTTTTAAAAATCCAATTTTCACTTTTTTGAGTTGAATGTATGAGATCCCAGTTCCACTTGGTACATTCATGTGGACTCACTAAGGTTAAACACGCTTGAAATCTTTTCATTATTGTTGTTTCTGAATGTTAGTTTCCAGTTATGGTATATTATCTTGTATATTCTTAAATGAACTGGTTTTCAGCTAATGATTAATTTTTTTGGTGCAATAACAAAGACCCTTGGCTCTGATTTGGCCAACTGACTGGCACTTAATCCAGGGATATGGTACCAAGACAGTGAATGGCTTGGGTTTAGCCAGCTGCCTGACAGTGACAGGAGTTGAGGCAGTGAGAAAGATCTGACAGAGGAATATGGGAGGCAGACCACCTGATCAATCTACTGCATTCAAACCAGAATGATCTGCAGACTGTAGTTTGAGATCCAGCACCTCTGTTCCATGGAATACCGAGTTGTGGGGTTGAGCTGCCAGATATTGCAGTTTTCTGTCAAAGATTCTATACCACCCCCAGTGCATGTCAGTTATTTTGGGGGCTAGTTTTAAAAATTGGTTTAGAGCTCTTCTGAAATAGATGGTTCCAAAATCTGCAGTAAAACTAATGTATAGTACACAGACTTAAAGTTTGGCTAATCAATATCATACAGTAAACCTTAAGTAGAAGACAGGGAAGTTCTTCCAACTAATGTGCTTATTCGCTTTAAAACACTGGTTTCTCTTCAGATCGTATAAATCTTTCGCTTCAAAACACAGGTACAGAACAACTGTACTTTGGTTTAGTTGAATTCACATGAGGGTTTCCTGAATAGTATCGGAAACATGTGACTGCACTCTCTAAAAAATAACTTGCTGTTCAGATATATATTTTTAAAATTCCTCTATACTTAGAAATCAAAGGAAAGGGATGTCTAATGTTAGCTTGTTGAGCCCTACTGTATTTCCACAAGTTTGGTTAATATTATACAGCAATAGCATATCAGAGATAAATCCATCCCATACATTAAAAAAAAGATAAATCTATCCCTGATAGTTTGAATAATTTTCAAAGAATTTCTTCTTGGTTTTAATTCTCCAGAAGAAAGCAGTATTTGATGCTTTAAGAAAAGAAGTTTGTTTCTGAATTGGATCCCTGGTCCATATAATCCAGCAATCTGTTTCCACAGTGGCCAACCAATTGCACAAGGTACCTCACTGGTCTCCCAGGAGGAGATGGCTTTTAAGAGGCAGTCACACTGCCATGAAAGCTAGTATACACCGATCATCTTGACTTTGATAAGTTGGGCCAACTGTCTATGAAACCAGGAAAGCTATTTTATCTCCTATCAGGGAATTCCATAGTTGTGTTTTGAAAAATATCCTTTTATCTGTCCTGATTTTTTGTCCAGGATTCATATTCAAAGATTTATTGTTTGTGGTCTTATGCCTTAAAATGTCCTTGTCAACCATGTCTTTAAAGGGATGGCATTGTAGGCTGTTATTTATTTCTCAACTAATCTCTTCGGATGAAAAGGCATTTTGCTTCATGAGAGTCAGCCAAGTATTCTTCTATGTACATTTGAAAAAAGAATCCTTTTTAAAATCCATCAGTGCTTGGAAATATCACTACATGTACATGTACAGTACTGGCTAGAGTTTGGCAGAAAGGTTAAATTAGCCAAGATTTGTGTAGTAGCTATGAAGCTTTGGCCTTGCAGAATTTGGTATAATATAATATAATATAATATAATATTATATTATATTATATTATATTATATTATATTATATTATATTATATTATATTATATTATATTATATTA